TTGGGAATTAGAGGTACCATATACCACTTCTGCTGTCACATTCTGGCTAGCTGCAGTTTGCAAGCCCTCTTCAAAGGCTGCCCCATAAAGAAAATACTGAAGTAATCCAATCTTGAGGTTAACATGAGTCACCAAAGCCAGATCTCTGTCTGAAGTTCATTGAAAGGCCTTCCCTGCTGTGTGGCTGGCTAGAATCAGTGTTGGGTCCAGGAGAACCCCGTGGATGAGTACAGCATGCTGCACAATGGGAATATCCCCTGGATGCTAAAGTATAACATCTGAAATCAGCATCAATTCTGCATTGTCTGCATTAGATTTCAGAGGCCCTGGAAATGTCAAATCTTGATCTTAACAGGAAAATAGAATAAAGCAGAGAATTATTTCCCTATTGGTAACAGTAGGTACCAAAGCAGTAAATGAGTCTTCCCAGTGGCAACATGTAAGTGTTAAATAACAAGAACAGATAGAGCTTTGTGTGCCCCCCTCCCCCTGCCTGATTATTCCCAGGCAGGGAAGCATGTCCTACTTTTTGGTACTTTTTGATAGTGCTTGGAGAAATAGAAAGGGAACCATCACAGAGTCTCCCAAGCACTCAAACAAGATACTTACACAGTTAAGAGATCCAGGAGGATCAATATGATCACACTCGCTTTGCTTATAGCCTAGTAAACAAAGATTACTAGTAAAGATCATGCATTACAGTAACCAAGGCCACCTGTCTGTCATATCTGGGTTGAAATCCAGACTGAAAAAGTGCAAAATAATCTGTCTTATCTAATTGCTCCTGGTGGCATCCATACTAGTGCCTTTTTCATATGCTTGGCTAAATATCAGCTGATAATTGTTAAAACTAGTTGCTAAATAGATAATTGCTAAAACAAGATAATTTCTTAAGTAAAGGTCTCACCACTTTTTTTAAGGCAGAAAGAATCTTTGCAAGCAAGAAGCAACTATTAATTATCTCAGTGATCATTGTCAGGATGGATTTTTTAGCCAAGCTGTAGTGGGTTGGGGGACATATGACTCAAACATATCCAAGAACCTTATCTACAACCCCAGAGAGAAAATATAAAACTGTCTCAAACATATGTTAATAGATAGTAAATTGAACACCTTAGGTACAATCATGCTCTGAATGATATCAAGTATGAATATAAACATATTGTCAATATTGAAGCACCCATACTGTTCACAATGAAAGTCAGATGGATACTAAGTGCTAGACAAAAACCACTTTTAGACAGTCATTTATTCCACTGTTCCATATGTGCAACATAGGATAAAAGATGTTTATGAGCCACTGTATCAAGATTTTGTTATATTTTTGTGTTCCACATCTCAGTCAGTTTGCTGATAGACCAGCCAACCAAATTTGAGAAAACATCCTGGAATAATTGATCAATCTTAGAGGGAAGATCAATTTAATCTGGCTTTATCCCTGCAAAGCAGAATACTGCAGCAGCCTAGTCATCACTAGATAGTTGTCTGTACGTGACAAGGATCTCGCATATGGGCATCTATATATGGCCATTCCCCTCCAAACAAAAATCAGATTGCAGGTATGATGTGCTTCATGGAAGTCATAGAGACAATAATATCCTGAGCTGCACTTTTTAGAGGGGTGTGACAGTTCAGTTACTCAAAACAGAAAACAGGCTACCCATATCACTGTGAAGACCAGTTGAATCAATATGGTCTGGGACTCTGCTAGGCAGCAGAATTCATGCCACCACCTGATCATTCAGAATGAAGCAAATGCCCTTAAAGCTGGTCTCAGATGGGAAAAGAATGTGGTATTCTTATGGACTATTGCAGTATCTCTCCTTGATCTTCAGATCTGTACCAGTATTATACAGCATACCTAACTTGCAGAAGCTGACTCTAAATAGTGGTTTCCTGCCACTTCTGGCCATGTCTCCATACTCCAGACTGATAAACTCCTTGATTAATTATAAGATCATGAATTTTATCTTTTTTTTTTTAATCAAGACCAAGCTGATATTCAAGAGTAGTGTCAAGGCCTTTACATGGTGTTCCAGACTATTTTGTTAGGTAGAAGATGCTGGGATATGAACCATTATAATTGAATGAGCCTTACTTCCTTTAACAGAACAACTGTCACTCCTCCTCCCTCTCTCCCATGCCACAATGCCACTGGATGAGTCTAAAGAGTACTTATCCAGAACTTCCTCTCAAGTCAGAAAGAGTAGCACAAACTAGAAAGGGAAACAAACAGCAAACAAATAATTCAGCCAAATGCAACAGCACCAATGAACAAAATTGACATAGTAAAGAAGGAAGCCCTTTGTCTCAACTCTCATCAATTAATTATAGTTGAGAAAACCCTAGCCCAGTAGAATGGCTATTCTACTGCACTGCTAGAAGCAAACAACTAACATTACTCATATACTGTATATAAACAGGTAGTTTGCACCCAACATTCTGGCAAGACTCTCATTCAAGTTCTCCATCCCAGTTTTTTTCACCTGGAGGATAGGAGAAAAATGCTATCTTGCCAGTTTTGGCAAGCTCTCATTTCCACAGAACCCCAACATTCAGACTTCCATACAAAAACCCAAGAAAAAGGAAAGTCCTCCATGTTGTTTATTGTTTCCTGAAGAGGCAATTCAAAGGCACAAGCCCCTGTGGCATCATCTTCTGTGGGTTGGTCCATGATCTGCTTCTGGTCTGGGATGATAGGTCTGGTGATGCTGATTTGTAGTGGGAAAATCTTATCTTCCAGGCCTAAATAGCTGCTGCTAGTTGTGATATATCTATTTTCCTCTGCTATTCAGGTTGAAATCATATTCCCTTTTCTGTATGTCTTCTAAAATACTTTGCAATCATGTCTTGGCTTTTTTAAAATTCTGAATTGATGTTTGACCTGCTTGCAGAAATGGTGCTTTGGTGTTGGTTTTAATTAAGCTAAATCAATGTAGCAGTAGTAGTAGTAGTAGTAGTAGTAGTAGTTTTCATTTTGATTACTTCTTATATCATGAATTCAGTTTGTGGGTGATTTGTAATTCAGTGTCAGGGTTGGATAGGGTAAATAAATAATAACAAGTGGTAGGCTTGTGTGGAGTTATTGGCACAATGGCAGTGAAACAATGCAGTGCCAAGCATGTGATTGAACATCGCAGAGTTAAACTGCTGATAAAAACAGAAGATTCTTAAATATTCTGTTCTCCATTTTCTAAGCTCTGAACTACTAAAAGTTGATATGCTTTCATTTTAATTTCATTCTTTAAAGACAACCTGCACTTGTATAACGTGTCAGCCTGCCTACCACCCTGTCAGATGGCATTCCCCCAGTGGTTGTATATGTCTGACAGAGACATGTGCCAATTAAGGGTTGGAAAGTGCTAAATTTCTATCACTTCCCTCCTAGGAAAACTTATCAGTGGCAGCAGGATGGCTGTTTGTTGAAGATACCAAATTATGTTCCCGTTCTGCTCCCTGAATAGACCTATAAATCCCCTACTATGAAAATGGTGAAAGGAGGGGCATTTGAACATAAAGCATTTCTGGTAGTTGCTCTCTTGATACAAGATGGCAATAAACTAAATAATGAAGCTCGGCTAGTGGTGTGCCAGGTCACATATCCATCTGTTGCAGGAGTTAAGGAGATGGTCAGCAACTGAACTTATTAACCTGCAAGGCAGTGCAGCAAAGGCTTCAACAATTACATTAATTAATGTGTGACCATAACTACAGGTACTTCCCAACTCTAGGTGCTTTGGAATGAAATAGCAAAAATAACCAGAGTACCCAATAAACTCTGCTGAATTAATGACTTTACATGGAGCAGGAACCCTGTGACCTGCACATTATTGGCTGGTGGGGTTTAGATTTTTTTGGTATTCAAAGCTTTGTATAGGTGATAGACTAAATAATCCATTTAGGAGACTCCTGGATCCTAAAGATTTCCTGATAGTTCTTTGGGATTTTCTTGGCTTCTTGATGGTTGATTCAGTCACAGCCCTAGTTGGAATGGGTAAATATCTTAGGAAAGTTATGCATTTTGTTGTCCTCCTGACCAAGTGAGTAGTCAGCCATTAGTTGGGAGCGTTCTAGTTATAAAACTCCTGCATTTTGAATTAGATTATAAGGGTTAACAACCTTTTCAGGTGCTGGGCGCTAGCATATGATTTTCTCATTCCAGGCACTCCACCCATGTTTTTTAAAGCAACAACACTGAAATTTCACATTACTGTAAAATCTAAAGAGATTTGATAGTCTTATCCTTCCCTAGTTCTTGTGGGAGTATGCTGAAATCTTCTGAGTCTGTCAGTGTGATATGCTAAAAATCAATGAGATTTCCTTTTCCCTTCCCTTCCCTTCCCTTCCCTTCCCTTCCCTTCCCATAAATTGTGTCTAGGAATGCTATGGTGCTGTGTAGCCAGTCTGTGGACTACAATGTCTCCATGTCTATGATTGTATACCATTAATTCATTTATAATTTGCTCAATACTATTGCATTATAAAATACTTGATTCTAGGAAGGTTTAATTGCCAGAATTAAAGATATTGCCCATTAATGTTTAAACAAGACTCATCTATACAGAGTTCTTACAGCTATCGGATCTGGGCTAGAAAAATTCAGACAACAATTAGGTAGAGCAAAGAAATATAGAAAATTCTCTTTGTTACCATCTAGTGCTGATCTGTATTTTTTTCAACCTAGATCCAATAAGGCTGTAATGCTGTTTTAACAATCTCTGTGCTGGTTTGCAGTAATCCCCTTTCAATTTCTTATGGGTAACCCAAATCCCCCCTCCTTTTTTTTTTTTACATATGGAACTATCACTTGCAAAGGAAATGCTGATTACTATGGGTACTTGTTCAGACAGTACCCATGCCAGTTAAGCAAATGCTTAAGCAATTTATTTAATTATGTTAAGCACCCATTAACAGCAGCTTAAACTTTCCCCTGGGCTGTATCAGTGATATGAGATTCTAATTGTTAGAGACTAACCATGATTTTCTTCTTGTGTCTGTAGGTGATTTTAATTCTGACAAAGTTGTATGACTACAACCTGGGGAGTATCACAGAGAGCTCGCTGTGGAGGTATGTAGATAAGTTGAGCTAATAATGACTATTTTCCTTTAAAACAGACACTTTCATTAGACTTAACTGATTTTCTTTTTACATGCTAAAATATTTGTACATACTCTGTGTGGTCATTTTGGGTTGTTTTAATTCTTGCAGTGATGTCAAGAGATGCAGTAATGTCAAGCCAGAGTCATTCTTTTTATCTGACTTCTTTTCCCAAACATCTGTTAAAACCTAAGCTGCAACTTAACTTTGTTGAAGTCTTGTTCAATTAAAAAAAAATGCACAAGTTTGCAGTGTCAGAATATTTGAAAGGCTTATACTAATTCTGGCCCTGGTGTTCTGACTTGTAATAATTGCTTCCTCACCAGACTAGTGGTGAGAGCATTTCACCTGTTTTTTAAGCCTATGTTTAGTGTTCTTTCAAGAAAGCTCTAATCCCATGTTTAAAAACAGTGCTAGCATTCTCTGAGTGCTAAACCTTCTGTGTTTCAGAGGCATGAGTACAGTCTGACAAACTCAGTACTTCAGAAAGTACCCGTCAGGCATTCTGTGGGAAAATACCTCTCCAGAACTCAATGACCAGTCTCTCTTGCAGCCCAAGCCAAATATAGCCATTGAAATTACAGGTAGACCTCATTTAATGACCATAATTGGGACATGCAACTCTGTTGCTAAGTTACACAGTCTTTAAGTGAGACATCACATGACTGCAACTTGCAATTTTACTGCTGGCTTCTCCATTGTCTCTGCTTGTCAGAAGTCAACTGTGAAGCATGCAAATGATGATTACGTGACTGCGGGATGCTGTGATGGTCATAAACGCCTGCTGGTTGCCAAGTGCCCAGATCTCAATCACATGATCACAAGGACACTCTGATGGTCATAAGTACTAGGACAAGTCATAAAGTTACTTTTTCAGTGCTGTCATAACTTCCAACAGCCGCTAAACAGGGCAGTCATTAAGTGAAGACTACTTGTAATGTCCAGCAACCAAGAGGAGAGACAATCCCCACAGCAGCTAACAGGAACTGGATAGACTCCAGCCCTGAACTTCTGACCAACCACATTGTTGCTGAAGCATGCTAGACTGTGTCCCTGGCAAAAATTGTGTTACAAGAAGAGGTAAAACATTATTTCAGAAGGTGAATAGCTAAAGACAACTTTCTTCTGCCTTAGCTATGGGGGAATATATTATCATGAGAATATGTCATTTAAAAATAGTTAGCAGGGCATGGTTGTGCTATGGTTAAGGGAACATGAGAATAAGCCCCTGGTTTATGTGTATGTGAATTTCAGAAGTGACATTTCCTCCTTTTATGGGAGTGAGCCAAGCATCAGAACCAAGCTACTTCCTAATTCTATAGGGTTTCTGTGGCCAGAAGAAAAGTTGGAGGATTAGCCCCTTTTGGGGATGGGTGGATGCTCTGCTAGTCCCATGCTGTCATAGCAATAATTAGCTTCCATCAGGAATCATCAGGATTTGGATCCATTATATCCAGAGTCAAAAGCCATTTGGTGGTCTTTAAATATCCTGGTAATACTTCATACAATACTCTTCCACTCCTGTAGCTTTCTACAGATAGTACAAGGTCACTAATGAAGAGCAGCCCCTACCTCAGATTGGCAGAAATCTGAGAATCTGAGAAAGGTAGAGACTAATGGTGAATGCCTTGAACTAGGTAGACAGTGAGAATGTATGTTAGCCTTATCCCATTCAGTCCCTGACCTCCATATAGTCAGGTGGGAGGTCTCAAGAGGAGATATATTTGCATGTGCTTGAATAGAAGAATGGCTCTCCATGCTATTCATATCTCTGCTTTATCACTGAAACTGTTATGAGTATAGTTTCTCTTTAGATCCTTTGTATAGTATCTTGATCTAACTCAGTAGTAGGATCTTGACCAGCCTTGAATGCTACTCAGATTTTGATCCTGGGGGGTAAGCATTTCTGAAGACATTTCGGGTCTTCTAAAACTAAGATTAAATAATCTTAAAATAGTCAGGAAGTTCCAGAGAGGAGTGTTTTAAAAGGAGGCTCAGGAACTGCTAGTAGCCTATAGACAATGTTGTCTACTCTTGACCAAAATCATAGAAAATTATTATCTTCACCTGATAAAGTTAATAATGCAAGTGCTAGGATGTTTCCATAGGTAGATAATTTTATTGAAGGGTGCAAAGGCATTGTTCAAGATATTATCTCCCTTCACTTGGTCTGGTAGGCAGAGTGGAAAAGTTAAAAAAGAGACATTAAATCTTTGTCCTGACAGATGGTCTCTGTCCTAATTCCATTAAGGATTGCTAGTAGATGTATTGCTGTGCTCTTTTTGCAAAATGTTAAGACAGATGTTTGACAAGATGCCACTGGCTGCTGCTCCCCTTAGCCATGTTACTTTATTTAGGTCTTGGTATTTGTCCATTATCAATATCAAAGACTGTTATGAATAAAATGAAATGAATAATGGTTTAATGCTTTGATGGTTTGAACCCCTTCAAGTCTACTGTCAATCAAAAGAAGTACTTATCCTACAAATGAATGATTTGGTCTTGTCTGTTGAAAAAATGTGTTCTATTTCTGAAGGCTGAAGAGAGCAAGGGGTAGCTCTCTCACCTTCTCACATGTACTTTTTTTTTTCTTTGAACCTTTTTGGCAACGTAAGTTAAAAATAAAGCAATATCTAAACTCTTGTCCGAATGTAATGGGAAATTTGCAGATAGACTATTTTAATTCATAAATGTTGTCTCATATATTTCTTATATTTTACCGTGACTCTGCTATCATTCATAATATTTTGAAAGTTCCCAGGTTGGATGAAGAAAGCTTTAATATAAATTATTGGAATGGGGTTATTTTCAGAAATATTATCTTGTATGACATTGAAAGGTACGTAATACAGTGGGTGGCCAGATGGAAGGGGCAATTTAGGGCATCAAGTCCAATATCCCGCTTAGTGCAAAAATCCAAACTGAACCATCCAGAAGGCTGCCTAGGCTGCTTGTGAACACATTCAATGACAAAGACAACCTCCCTGAGTAATTGTCACACTCCTTTTAGTGTTAGGATATCTTTTTCTAACTGTCTGTCAAAATCTGCCTTCCTGTAACCTAAATCCATTACTCTGTGTCCTACAATATGAAATGAAGGGAGAACAGATCCTGACCATTTATTGGACATATATTTATATTTTTGTCCCTTTGAGTCAGTTTTGACTCCTGGCAACTACCTGGACTAGTCCCTGCAGTTTTCCTGGCAAGGTTTTTCAGAAGTGCTTTGCCATTGCCTGCTTCCAAGGGCTGAGAGAGAGTGACTGGCCCAAGGTCACCCAGATGGCTGCATGGCTAAGGTAAGACTAGAGCTCACGGTCTCCAGCCTTTCTTTCTAGCCTGATGCCTTAATCACTATACCAAACTGGGTCTTTATTGGACATACAGTGGAACCTCGAGTTACGAATTTAAACGGTTCCGTGACTCTGGTTGCAACTCGAATTGGTCGCACCACAAGGCAAATTTTCCCATAAGGTTCGATGTAATTACCGTTAATCTGTTCCGGCATCTGCGGACCACGCGTCAGGGGCGGAAAAATGGCTGCGGACCACGCAGCAGGGTGGAAAAACAGCCGCGGACCACGTGGAATGGGCGGAAAAATGGCCGTGGACCACGTGTCAGGGGCGGAAAATGGCCGCGGACCACGTGGCAGGGCGGACAAATGGCCGCGGACCACGTGAACGGGCGGAAATGGCCACGGTCCACGTGGCACGGGCGGAAAATGGCCGCGGACCACGTGGAATGGGAGGAAAATGGCCGCAGACCACGTGGCACCAGCGGAAAAATGGCTGCAGACCACGTGGAACGGGCGGAAAATGGCCGCAGACCACGTGGCACCAGCGGAAAAATGGCTGCAGACCAC